CCATAATGCCTTTTCTGTGCAGCCTGAGCAGGAGCCGTTAAGGAAAAGAAGTCGGAAGAGGCCAATATACAGTGGTACCTCGCAAGACGAATGCCTCGCAAGACAAAAAAACTCGCTAGACAAAAGGGTTTTTTGTTTTTTGAGCTGCTTCGCAAGACGATTTTCCCTATGGGCTTGCTTCGCAAGACAGAAACGTCTTGCAAGTTTGTTTCCTTTTTCTTAACACCGTTAATACAGTTGCGACTTGACTTCGAGGAGCAACTCATAGAACGCGGTGTGGTAGCCTTTTTTGAGGTTTTTTAAGACTTTGGTGATTTTTGAAGCTTTTCCAAAACTTTCCCGACACCGTGCTTCGCAAGACAAAAAAAATCGCAAGATGATAAAACTCGCGGAACGAATTAATTTCGTCTTGCGAGGCACCACTGTATATGTGGACTGTCCCTGGTTACAGTCGCCAAAATAGAATGTCTAGTTGCCATTTTGGAGCCAGACAGCTCCAAAGTCTTGTTTTTCAAACAATGGCCTGACAGGGGTTGATTCTCAGTTAAACATCTGGCTAGTTCAGATGACACCCTTGAGCTTTAAAACTTCTCAGAACTCTTAACCTAGCTGGGTATTTGCACCCCGGCGCCGTATCTGCTAAAGACCACCCTGGCTCCGAGAGAGAACGAGTGCCACTTAAACACACATGAGCTTCCCCACATGTGTGCACCTTCTCTGTGGTGCCCTCCAGATGTTACTGAGCTCAAGCCTTTGCTACCCATGAGTCATTGGCCCTTCCGTGGCTGCGTTGGTGGATTCCAGCAACATCTGGAGTGCACCATGTCGGCAGCTGCCGCACAGCCTGTCCCCTCTCGACCCCTGCCTCCTTTTTTCTGCTTTGGAGAGAAAAAGGTTATCCCAGTGCAAACTCTCTACTACTTTTTATTCACGGAAGCTAAGAGCGACGAGCGTTTGGGGCTTGTGCCTGCGGAATGTGAAGCAGGCCGAACAAAACACTTCTCATCTGCTATCAATAATTTCTCAAGGTAATGAAACAATAGATCACAGTCCCTCTTTCCCCTTGGGGCGTGCCGTCTTTCGGTTCTGGGAAACTTGCTTTCGTTTTCTCTATTAAAATCTTATTCACGTGCTCAGCCTCAACTTTGGACCCATGTTTAATCCACCCCACTGGCCACAGTGACCAAGTTTTGCTTTTTATTTCTAAAATGGCGCACACACACACACACATGTCACTCCAGCTGCTTTTAAAGGTGCTATTGCTGTAGGATACTCCCACCCCCTTTTATACCCTTAAGTTGAATTGGCAGCAAGGAGAGGGGCTTTTAATGGACAGTAAAAACCCTGACTTTAATTGCCGCAGACATTAGGACGTTAAGAGGCTAATTTGTAAGAGAGAACTTTTTATCTGTCCTGCTTTTTATTGATCTTCCGGGGAGTGGGGGGGGGGTTAAAAATGTTATCTGGAAGGTGGACTTCGCTTCATGCTAAAAGCCAGTTAATGGCAGCTGTGCTGTACTCAAGAGAAGGGTGGCTAATGATGGAAACCTGCTATATACATATTGGAGCCTTTAAGGACTGGGTTTCTGGAGCAGGGAGGTGCAAAGAAATGAATGGAATAGAGAGAAAAGGCATTTATACCTGGGGGTGCTTAACGTGTGGCATAAGAAGAACCCTGGCTGGATGAGGCCAGGGGCCTGTCTCGCCCAGCATCCTGTGACCAACCAGATCCCTAAGAGGATCCCACAAGGAGGATCCGAACGCAATAGTCCTCTCCCCTTCTGCGGTTTCCAGCAACCAGAATTCACAGAGGAGGTAGAAAATCAGGGCAATAGCCATTGATAGCATGAATTTGTCTAACCCTCTTGCAAAGCCACCCAAGTTGGCAGCCATCACCGCCTCTTGTGGGAATGAATCTCATCATTTTAACTATGCGGCGCGTAAATAAATGCTTTCTTTTACCTGTCCCGTTGGATGTCCACGAATTCTAGTGTTAGGAGAGACGGAGGGCAGCTTCTTTCTATCTCTTGCTTTCTCCGTGTTCGTTTTAGAAAAGCCGGAAATTCCGCAACCTGATCCGCAATGCATTATAGCGATTCTGCAACCTGATCTCTACGGTCAGATGGCGCCTTGCTCTGCTGGCCGCAGCAATACCACCAAGTAAATGGCCAGCAGGGTATGCCAGATTCTAGCACTTTTGCCTGCCTTGTGTGTGCACTTGGGGTTAGGAGCTCTCTCCCTGGGGAAGTCTGCCTTGTTTGTTCTCGCGGAGCATTCCAGAAAGAAGCCCTTTCTTTCAAAGTGTTAAAAAATTCTGTTTTTGTTTGACCCTCCAGATAAAATTCCTTGGTTGCCCTAATAAGCCAAGAGAGTTGACACATTTAAAAATGTGCATGTATGTATAAACGCTACTAGCTTCTTTATTTTATCTGTTGCTCTTTGTTGCTTTTTGCAACGGTCAGTTTTATTTTTATTGTAAAGTGCTTTTCGACATCTTATTATACTTAACCTTACAATTACATATAACCCGCCTTTCAGAATACACAGATCATCCTGATAGGCTTCACAGGCAACATTAAACCACGTTGTTGTTTTTTAAAAAAGCATAGTAAACAACACCAACATGCAAAATGCCGTTGGGATCATTCCCCGTGGAGAGTAGGTGGGCAGAAGATGGTAAAAAATGGTGCAAGAAAATGCAAGCACCGTTTCCTTCTGTGGTTGTAAATGAAAGCAGCCGCATGGGAACGGCTTCATTCCCACATTGCTGCTGTAATGCATAATTGGCACCACCTACGTCGTGTTGTCCCTTTGAGAGTTTCTGCTGAGCTGTCCACTGTTATCTTTGGAAGGGAGTGGATCGGGGAGGAAGCCATAGCAAACTGGCCCTGCCTCTGGTGACCTCATTAGCCCTCCCTATCCAGTGACCCTCTCCCCAAGACATCAAAGGGTTTTCTAGCTGCTTCAGGAACCAAGTCATAGAAAGGCAGCGCTCAACAATGTCGATTTAGCATAGGAAAGGCAGCTTCTACAGGTCTGTGTGCAGAGAGACGCCCACTGATAAGAAGAAAACGAGACTGGTCAGCCATGCTATGTTCCTGGCGGTGAAATACAGTGGTACCTCGGGTTAAGTACTTAATTCGTTCCGGAGGTCCGTTCTTAACCTGAAACTGTTCTTAACCTGAAGCACCACTTTAGCTAATGGGGGCCTCCTGCTGCTGCCGCGCCGCCGAAGCACGATTTCTGTTCTTATCCTGAAGCAAAGTTCTTAACCTGAAGCACTATTTCTGGCTTAGTGGAGTGTGTAACCTGAAGCGTATGTAACCTGAAGCATATGTAACCCGAGGTACCACTGTACTTGACATTTCCTATGCACATTCATGTTTCCGCAGAGCTCGCCACGTGGGCTGTGGCATGCAATGCGTTCAGGATACAATATCCCAAGGCCCAGGGAGGTTTGCCTCCCAGGAAAGAAAGTAATGTCATGGGGAAAACCTCGGCTGTCCAGCAACAGGGAGCTTACTTGCTCATTCCCCATCAGACAGAAAACGCTGCTGGTTGCCTTGGGATTGAAGAAATGGAAGAGAAGAGAGCTTCGTCCCTGCTGGGTTCAGCCGAGATTCATTTGTGCAGAGGACAGAGGCGTAGCATGGGGGGGGCGTGGCTCCGGGTGCAATGTTGAGAGGGGTGCACACAGCAGAGCCCTGACTGCGGTGCTTGTGCCTGGTATAGCTCCGCCCCCCAGGGCAGGTTTAATGGGGGGGCGGAGAGAGAGCAGGTGAGTGGGTGGCAGCGCTGCTGCCCACCCTCCTCATCCGTAGTACACCTCACGCCAGGTGGCAGCAGCTCTCCCACCACGTTACTTCTGACTCGGCAGCGGAGAGCATTGCACCTTGACCATGCTGAGATGCCCCCGGCCACAAAAGCTCTGTCTCCACCACTGGGTCAGGTGGAGAGTGGAGAGCAGCTTTCCTGCCCCTCTCCTAACCCTGAACTGTGGCACACGGAGGGCGCCCTCTGCGCCCCGCCTCCACGCTGGCACGCCCCCAGAGGGCACCCATGGTTTCAAGCCAGAATGGGGAAATGCATTGCTGAGGGCCGTGCTCAGCTGGTGGGTCTAGCGCTGATGTTGCTGTTAGAATTCCTGCTCCATGATTGCAGTCATGGGATTGTTGTCTATCACATGAAGGTATATGTTTTGACTCCACAGTGGGAAGTGACGGAGACAGGATGTTTGTGTTACTGTGTTCCATGAAGTGGGACTGTTGTCCTTTGTTCTTTTTCTCTTTGCTGTCTGATGCTTGAGAGAGAGGGAGCCATGGTGCAGTGCTCCGTGTGTGTTTATATGTAAATAAAGTAGATTAGCCAAAATGCTGAGTTGCTGAAGTCTGTCACATGTATGCTGCGAAGACTCTTCGGATCCCTAACTGTGCCGGTGTTGGTTGGCATCGGTCGCTGAGATGTTTGGGCTGAAGAAAGCTTGTGAAGCTCCTGAACGATCGACCAGGAGGGAGGGAACATGCCAGTCGGGCATGTGTCTCTGCCAGGGTCCTACTTGAGTATACGCTGAACTCCTGACAGTGGCATTGGGGCATACGCTGCAGCATAGAAGGGCGAGTGCCCTGCATGCAAAAAGTAGCCTGTAAATGGGGCTTAAGCAACTTCAATAATTTATCTTCCCATCCAGTTTTCCCTCCCCAGCCCATTTTGTTGTTGTTGTTTTTCTGAGCCTTTCCAATTGTAAACCTGTGGGCAGGCACTCTCTTGTTGTTTTTAATCCCTGTGTGGTGCTCAGCAAATTGTAGGTGCTTTATAAGTGATAAGTCATAATAATAGATAGGCAGTTTTGATAACTTATTTTCTGGCTTGCATTCAGAGGATCAGAAGTATGCATCGTCTTTTCTTCACGGAGGGGAATATTGTGCTTTTCCGAAGCTTTTGTTGCTCAATATCTAATTCTCTTTCTCCCTCCCTCTCTCTCTCTCCCCAATTCTCCCCAGTGGATGAATACATCGCTATTGCAAAAGAAAAGCATGGCTACAACATGGAGCAGGTACTGAAAACAATTCAAAAAATTATAGTGTCCTATTAACCAAATGATGACTTTTTCTAAAGGGAAGATTCATTTCCAGTATTATTGATTGATTGATTGATTGCATTTATACCCCACCTTTCCTCCAAGGTGGTTTACATAAGTCTCTTCATTTAATCCTCACAACAACCCTGTGAGGTAAGTGAAATTTGGTGTCCCAGATCCTAGCCCAACACTCTGCATGTCCATCACTTGCATTCCAGTTGTTAATGAAACAAATTCACCTGTAAACCAGACTGTTGTACTGCAGTCTTCCTTCTCCCCTTTGGACCAATGCAGTTAATTTTTTGATGTCTGGAATAAGCATATATTTTACTAATCATTCCCAGTACGTTGGATTTTGTTATCGTTTCCATTTCTTAGCCTACACATCTTAATTTTTTAAAACCACTGTGGGGATGTTTTACTCCTGTTTCTAACCAAAATAAGGGGTGGGGTGGGGGTGGGGGTGGGCAGGCAAGGAGAAAACCATACCCATGTAGATGCATTTGACATGATCCTTATCTGCCATTCTTGGGTGTATTTATGTATAAACAAGCACATTTAATATCTTGCCTCTCCGTAAAAGGTCAGGCTGGCTGGAAACATTAAAGTCTTGCTCTCAAAACGTATATACCAAACAAACAACAAAGGCTAATACCTTTAAAAAAAATCCACAATACAAAAGGACACACAGCAAGACCAGTAAGTGACGTCCTGAAACATAAACCCGCTAGATGCCTGCCTAGACAGGTGAGCTTTGCCTTTGTTTCTAAATTGCCAAGAAGAACATTCACTGGCACAGCTTCTCTACAAACTCCTTAAGATGGTTCAGAAGCAGGAAAATGCACAGATAGGAGCTAAGCAGAAGATCTCTTCAGGTGTTCAGAAGAATGTGTGTGGCCATAAATTGTGAAGGAGCGTTAGAAACATAGATGTATAAGCCCAATGGCGCCTTAAATCTAGGTTACGGTTGCCACAACAAAATGTCTAGGGTTTTTTTGGCCTAATAATAATAATAATAATAATAATAATAATAATAATAATAATTCTATATCACTTTATGTTTTAAAGAAAAAATATCAATGCAGTCTACAATGCAGTGCTCCATGCGACGGTCATCTCCAGGCTTGACTACTGTAATTCGCTCTACGCGGGGCTGCCCTTGAAGCTGTCCCAGAAACTCCAGCGGGTACAGAATGCTGCAGCGAGGCTCCTCACGGGGTCTCTGCCATGGGAGCATATTCATCCAGTGCTTTTCAAGCTGCACTGGCTCCCGGTGGAGTACAGGGTCAGATTTAAGGTGCTGCTTTTGACCTTTAAAGCCCTTCACGGCCTAGGACCCTCGTACCTACGGGACCGCCTCGCCTCGTATGCCCCACGGAGAGCCCCAAGGTCCATAAATAACAACACCCTAGTGGTCCCAGGCCCTAAGGAAGTTAGATTGGCTTCAACCAGAGCCAGGGCCTTTTCAGCACTGGCCCCAAGTTGGTGGAACGCTCTGTCTCATGAGACCAGGGCCCTGCAGGATCTGATTTCTTTCCGCAGGGCCTGTAAGACAGAGTTGTTTCGCCTGGCCTTTGGCTTGGAGCCAATTTGATTCCCTCCCCCCCCCCTTTTCTTTTTTCTTTTCCTTCTCCTGCAATGAGGCTACATTTTAATATTTTAATGTTCTATTATTTTAATGTTGTATTTTATTTTTGTTTTTAAGTTGTAATCATTCATCTTGTTTTTATTATTGCTTGTAAGCCGCACTGAGCCCGGCCTTGGCTGGGGAGGGCGGGGTATAAATAAAAAATTATTATTATTATTATTATTATTATTATTATTATTATTATTACAACAGATTAAAACCCCAAATAAAAACAATTCACAATGAAACGAATGCAAGCTTCAAGGAAAATGCATTTTGCTTTCCCCAAATTTATTTACCTATCTAATTTATATAGCTGTCCCACAGCAGAAGTACTCTAGGAAGCCAGTGTGGTGTCGTGGTTAGAGTATTGGACTAGGACCCGAGAGTTCAGGGTTCTAATCCCCACTGAGCCATGAAACTCACCGGGCGACCTTCGGCCAATCGCTTACTCTCAGCTTCATGTACCTCCCAGGGTTGTTGTGAGGATAACATGTGCAGGATATATGCTCTGGGATATAAACGTGAGAAATCGTAAAGCTGGTTCCTGCCCAGTCTAAAAAGTGACACCGGAAAATGACAAAAGAAGGAGAGAATAGAAGTGGATGTGGATATGTGATTGTTTTAATTACACACGTTTCCGTTTAGTTTTGAACCTAAGGGGTAGCAGATGAGAGAGAAAATTGATTCATGCTTTTCTGTATCTCTTCAGGCCAGTTGAAAATATCATAGTATGTATATGGATGCCTCTCTTCTTCCCTATGTACCCATTTCCTAGATCTATCTAAATGTATGGCGTGTATGGATGGAGGCTTTAAAGAACACCACCCCATGGCTGTGGTGCGATGGGTCAGTGCGTCTGGCTATTAACCAGAAGGTTGTTCGTTTGAGCTCACCCAAGGATGGCTGCATTGCAGGGGACTAGATGACTCTCTGGGGTCCTTCCAGCTCTATAGTTCTAGGATTCTATGACCTTCCCAAAAGAATCCTGGGAATTGTAGTTTACCCCTCACAGACGTTACAAGCTCCAGCTCTCCAAACAAGCTACAATTCCCAGGATTCTTTTGGGAGAAAGCCATGTTCTTTAAATGTATGGCGTGTAAAAAGGTAAAGGGTAAAGGGACCCCTGACCATTAGGTCCAGTCGTGACCGACTCTGGGGTTGCGGCGTTCATCTCGCTTTACTGGCCGAGGGAGCTGGCGTACAGCTTCCAGGTCTCATGGTGAACCAGAGCAGCGCACGGAAACGCTGTTTACCTTCCCGCTGGAGTGGTACCTATTTATCTACTTGCACTTTGACGTGCTTTCAAACTGCTAGGTTGGCAGGAGCAGGGACCGAGCAATGGGAGCTCACCCCGTTGCGGGGATTCGAACCGTCGACCTTCTGATCAGCGAGCTCTAGGCTCTGTGGTTTAACCCACAGCGCCACCCGCATGTACACAGCCTAAATTGGAAACTACTGGAGCATTCTGACTCATGGAACTAAGGTGGATTTGGAGAAGGCGGCGAATAGGATCCACTTAATTCTTGAATGATACAAGTAGAGAAATGCATAACTTTAAGCGTTGGTTATTCCATTATTTGACGAGGCACCATCCCTACTGAGAGGTTAGAAAGGGGCGGAAAGGAAGAAACTACTATTTCATTTAAAAAAGGTTATTTTCACAGTGAGTCATGTTGAAGGGAATTCCAAGAAGGAAAACTCCCTAGATATTGAGCAATGAGTGCGTGATGACACAGAACTGAGCAGCAGGGTCTTGCGTGTGCTGACCAACGTGGAGCTTCAGGAAATCACAAAGTGATGACTTTTCTACCAATGAAGAAAAACATTTTTTAAAAAATAATAATAGCAATTTGCATTGCAAAATGGGCTTGGGAAAGGGAAATCCCAGTATCAAAGTTAGCGCTTTCACTTTGAATAACCTGAGTCAAAATGTGTTGGCCAAGAGGTATGTGATCTATATATAACTTGCAGAGAATTAAGAGGTTTGTTCCAGGGCATTTTAACCAACAGATGGAGGGAATAATAATTTTACGTGAGGAGACAGTGCTGCCAAATTAACCTTTTTTTAAAACTATGACCATGAGATAGTTGGTCCTTTCTGAAATGTTTGCTGTGTGGAGGAAAGACTGGATCGTGCAGCAGATGCAATTTGGTGGGGTTCAGAGGTGACGCCGTGCCTTCAGATTTGGCGCTCTTCTGTACAAGAGAATTTAGTAAGATGGGCTTTCCAGACATTCTTTGTGCCACCCTTCCCAAATGTATCATGGTGATCTTGAATGGTTTTTGTCTTAGCTAACAAACAAACAAACAAACAAACAAACAAACACCTGAGCATATACCTACATACTGTCTCGGGCATTAAAGCCAGCAGTAGGGGCCCTCTTGGTAGTTCATCCACCCTCAGAAGTTTGGAAGCGGGAGGTGGCCCAGGAGAGGACATTCTTTGTTAGCTGCTCCTAAGTTGTGGCAATCGCTCTCCAGAGAGGTGCATCTGGGACCTTCATTGTGTGGCTTTTGTTTTATGATGAAGACACAATTTTTTACTGTGCATTTGAGCAATATACATATATAACACACGGATATATATACATATATCTGTGTAGAGATGTCATCACGCTGTAGTTCACATGGTCCCTGATAGGTGGCACTGCTAACTACAGTGCGAAGGCAAACTTAGCACGTGGCCAGCCAGGCAGTGAAGACCAGCGAACAAGAAAGCGGGTGGCAGAGGCCATAGCGGCCAGCATAATAATAATAATTAAATAATAATAATATACATACATACATACATACATACCCCCTGCCCATCTGGCTGGGTTTCCTGTAAGAGTGGCAGGGTGGGCTGCAGGGGCCAGCGAGAGAGGGGTGGGATGGGAGAACTGCAAAGTCTTAACTGCTGTCTGAAGCCGCCACCCATTCTATTCTCTTGACAGCAATTTGTTTTAAATTGGCTTTTGAAATTGCTGTAACCCACCCTGGTGGCGAAAGGCAAATAAGGAAGGAAGGAATGAATGAATGAGAGAAGCAGAATCTCCGGCTCATTCTGTGACAGTACAGCCATGACCACCAGATCTGAGGACTTCATCTGAAGTTCATTTGCTCTTCAGGAGCGCTGCTCCTCGTGGTCTAGGGCAGGCTTCCTCAATCTCAGCCCTTCAGATGTTTTGAGACTATAATTCCCATCATCCCTGACTACTGGTCCTGCTAGCTAGGGATCATGGGAGTTGTAGGCCAAAAAAAATCTGGAGGGCCAAGGTTGAGGAAGCCTGGTCTAGGGAATGCCCAAAGATGTTCAAAACAAAATTAAAGGTGTGGTTTGTACATTGTACTCCATCTGCATGTTCAGTAGTCCATATGTGTGGTCTGCTATTTCTATTATTATTATTATTATTATTATTATTATTATTATTATTATTATTATACCTGGAGGTCTCAGAGCAGTTCACAGAATAAAATCAAGATATAAAACCACAAAATACATAATAAAAATAAAAACAATCCAATAGCCGCCCCCTCCTTTCTTCCCACAAGGCACCCCCGAAGCAATTTATGATATAATACATCTTAAATTATATAGGAATAGTTAATCTACGATTGCTCACTGGAAGGACAGATTGTGAAGCTGAGGCTCCAATACTTTGGCCACCTCATGAGAAGAGAAGACTCCCTGGAAAAGACCCTGATGTTGGGAAAGATGGAGGACACAAGGAGAAGGGGACGACAGAGGACGAGATGGTTGGATAGTGTTCTTGAAGCTACCAGCATGAGTTTGACCAAACTGCGGGAGACAGTGGAAGACAGAAGTGCCTGGCGTGCTCTGGTCCAGGGGGTCACGAAGAGTCGGAAAACGACTAAACACCAACAACAATCTATGATTGGATATATAAAAAACAGTTAGAAATATGAAAACAGCTTAAAAGAACGGCACGTAAACAAAATCAATTCAGTTCCGAGAAAGATACCAAGTGGTGTAAAGCTTTTAGAAGTCTTGTGGAAACTGCTCAGGGACTTTACTGTGCTTTGAATGGATCGTTTCAAGAATGTGTTGTGGTCTCTCTCTCTCTCTCTCTCTCTCTCTGTGTGGTGTGTGTATGAGAGAGGCAGACAGAAATAGAGACTGTGTGCCTCTTTAGTCAACTGGGAAGGAATGGATGCAAGGCCAGCTTTTCACTTCCAGAACATCTGTGTTCTCCTTATGGTAAGAAAGCAGTGAACCTGCCAGAAGGTTATCAGAAAGGATCTGAACACAGCCCAAGCCCTAAAACCTAGGAACTAAACCAAGGGTAGAAGTGTTGGTCTTTTAAACCAAGGGTAGAAATGTTGGTCTTTACATGAAAATTGCCTGGGTGACGGTTGTTTCCCTTTGGTTGTGGGTCCACTTTTTGTTGCATTTATCCATGTTACCTCTCTCTTCCTTCCTCCAGGCCCTGGGGATGCTATTTTGGCACAAGCACAACATTGAGAAGTCTCTGGCTGACCTGCCCAACTTCACCCCCTTCCCAGACGAATGGACGGTTGAAGACAAAGTCTTGTTTGAGCAGGCTTTCAGTTTCCACGGAAAAACATTTCACCGGATTCAGCAAATGGTGAGACTTCACTGAGGCCTGAGTGCAAAGGTGTGAGTGCGGGTGCTGCGATCCATGTTGGGTTTGGATGATCTCAAGAAGATTTTCCAGCTGAGAAGCTTTGACCATCTACGAAGGTGCAGGGATCTTTAGAGGGAGACGGGAGGGCTGAGTTGCAAGAGCTTGTGTTTTTGGACTTCGTGTTTATTCCCCCCCACTTTGTTCATGAACTACACAATTGATAAGTGTGAAGCACTGATAGGGAGGAGGGGTGGAGACTTGGGGCACGAGATTATAACAGGGGGAAAGATGATGTGTTGGGAACTCCCCCTTTTTACATTCATACTGTAAGAAAAACAATCAAACAAAAAACAGGTTGCAAAAATGCAGAGATAAGAATGAAAGCTACCCTTCGAAATGTCGAAAGCAGCTACTGAGGAAGAGAGATTCTACTCAGCTGCATTAAAGCAGCACAGTGGAGAATGCAAATTAAAGGACATAAGATGAACACTCCGGGATATACTTCTAAAATGGAGACTAGTGTTTCATCCTAATAGAATCAGATCCGACAGGGAACTTGTCAGATAAATATTTGCGTATATCATAAAGAGCTACTCAAGGGCACCCCATTCCGCTGTTGTTGCTTTGCCCTTGATGGTTTTAACATTCATGAGTAAGTTTTTCAAGAAAAGAAAAGTGCACACACACACACACACGCATATGAAACGAAGATTTACCTACAACTGTTAAGTCACTAATCTCATAAAGATGGGAGGGTCTGGCAGTCTAAATGGTCAGGTTATTATTGTTGCGTGTAATATGCAGCAAATTCACAGACTGAGAGCGAGATCAGGCCCTCCTTATACTGGTGTATGGAGCGAGGGGATTTTATTATTCCACTGCCGTGAAACACCGGCGATGACAACATTGTGATATGGAATCCCATATCCACCTTTCTTGGCCTGGAAAGAGATTTCAGATTGCCAAAACACATCCATCAAAATATTCACGTACAAAAAGATCACAGCAAGGTTTCTAAGGCTAGATCTGTTTATATAGGAGTTGTGGGTGGAACCAAATTAAGATGACAGAAGCTCAGGAGTGTTTTGTATCTGTTTTAATTGTATCTGTTTTTAATTTTAACTCAGCTCTTGCATAAATTTGCTTTATCGACTAGGAGAAATAACGTGCAGAAAAGTGACTCCCTCTCTCCCAAATCTCTGCATTCTTGCTTTTCCTTGAGGGTTTGTTTTTTTAAAAAAAAGAAAGAACAGAAGTGTTTTATATTTATATTCACTGGAGATTACGGGTCACACTAAAAGCTGTGTGCTGTTAATTAGCAGAAGTAACAGCTGTACCTCCCCCACCCCACCAAGTCTTCCAGCTTAATCCCTGTTCTTTAACTATTTTACCACCAGTTCTTAAAAATAATACAGTGGTATCTTGGGTTACAGACGCTTCAGGTTACAGACTCTGCTAACCCAGAAATAGTACCTCAGGTTAAAAACTTTACTTCAAGATGAGAACAGAAATCGTGCGGCGGCGGCAGCGGGAGGTCCCATTAGCTAAAGTGGTACCTCAAGTTAAGAACAGTTTCAGCCTAAGAACGGACCTCCCATTCAAAGAAGAATGGGAACTTTTTACAAATTACTTAAAAAGACAGCAAAATGAATTGGACTCCTTGGCAGGTTTTGAATAAACATACACAAATTTATTGACTGTTAATATAGTAGACAGATAATACAAGGATTTATACAATTTTATAAGATGTAGAGAATAACATGTGTGGAGAAATCAGAGACAGGAGCTGAAGGAAGTCTCAGGGGGGAAGGGTTTGATGGGGAGGTGGAAAAAGGGGAATAATGAGTATGATATCTTTTGATATTTTGATATGTTGAAATTGTTAATAAAAATATATTATTATTATTATTATTATTATTATTATTATTATTATTATTATTATTATTATTATTATTTTAAAAAAGAACAGACCTCCAGAATGAATTAAGTTCTTAACCCGAGGTACCACTGTAATTATGTTTTGTTGTCTAAGGGCAGAGCTAGATGTGGGCCTGTTACTCAGAATGGCAAGCCCATACTGAGTTCTCCCACCTCCTACTGGTAACGTATAGGCAGACGTTTAGCTAATGATGTAGAGTAGGGTGGGGGGGTCAATGACTTTGTGGTACGGATACCTCTGGCCCTCTGCATGTTGTGGGATTTGCAACTGGCGTTAGCCCTAGCCACATGTTCCCTGGCTCTGCTTCATGATTTGGAGCATTGGAAATGAGCCCCAAGCTCACACGATCCTTTTGCCTATGTGGCTTTGTCTTTTCCATTTAACCATAGTTTGCCATGATGTTGAAATCTGCAAACTGGATAGCTCTTGCTCTCCAAACTCATTTCAGACTTCAAGCCACGGTTTCTTGATTTGGAACATTACGACAAACTATGGTTAGCACTAAACTGCAGCACTGCAGAGAGAGGAAGGGTTCACCATTATTGACTGATGGAAAACGACGGTTAGGATTTATACTGTGGGAGAAAGGTATGTAAGATGAGTGGAGGAATCCTTCGAATGATGATTTGGAGGTTTGTCTGAACTGAGTCAATATGTAAAGAAGCCTGTAATTAATTGCGCCTTTGATTGTTTCACAGTTGAGGGTCTTTGACTACCAAGTTTTACATATTTCAACCAACAAAGACGACCTTTCAGTGAGCAAGATGCAGGGCTTTCTTCTCCATGTGAAGTCTTATTGATTTTCAGCAACTAGCAAAAAATGAACAAGCCACTCCAAAGGCATAAATATGGTTGCTGTGCTTGAAAGGTTCTTGGGAAGAAATGACTTTTCCAGGGCCTGCTTAAAAGTGCATTCTTGTGGCATTCGGTACTGTTACGAGGACGATGGCAGAATTAGTCACTTCAGGTCACCAAGATAGCACCAGCCATGTATGTATGGTACTTTACACAGGAACATGAGCCAAAAAGTGACTTAGGAGGAGCTTGCACTCTAAATTTCAGCCGTGGGAGAGACATGCCAAGGGTGGACAGATAGATGGCAAAGGGAGTGCAGTCTCAGTGCTTCCTTTCAATGGGAGATGAGTGCAAAGTCGTTATACACACGGCTTCAAGGATGTGTAATGGGTTTTGTGACATACTTAGAAGGAAGAGAGACCTAGTATCACTTTGCTATAAGGTAGTTCCAGGCAGAAGGGAGCCAGTAGAGAGTATGGACAGAATGGCTTGAGAGCAGGGAATTTTGGGTTGATTCCTTTGGAGGTGCAACGGCACTGGGAAATCAGAACATAATGATGGAAATGATCACCCTCTTTTTATTTGTCGGCCACCTTTCCATAGTTAAGACCACGCTCAGGGCGGCTTACAACATGAAAAGGTTCACACAATTGCAAACGTAACAAAAGTAGTTGTAAACAGTAAATAAAGCACATCGAAAAGTATGCAGCCAAATGGGACAGTTTCCACAAAGATCATCATAAGATCATTTTAAGTTGTATTCATTCAACTTGTTTTTTATTATTGGTTGTTAGCCGCCCTGAGCCCAGCCTTGGCTGGGGAGGGCGAGGTATAAATAATTTTATACTCAGGGCAGGGCTCAGGGCAGCTAACACCAGTAAAATTACAACAAAAACATAATAGGGAAAAAAAAACAATTTAAAATACAGGTTAAAATGCAACTTCATTTTAAAAGTAGCCCATAGATCAAAACCGTGAGGGGAGGGAAACATAAGGGTCAGACTGAGTCCAAACCAAAGGCCAGGCAGAACAGCTCTGTCTTTCAGGCCCTGCAGAAAGATATCAAGTCCTGCAGGGCCCTAGTCTCTTGTGACAGAGCGTTCTACCAAGTTGGAGCCAGTACTGAAAAGGCCCTGGCCCTAGTTGAGACCAATCTAACCACCTTGCGACTTGGGACCTCCAGAGTGTTGTCATTTATGGACATTAAGGTCCTCCGCGGGGCATACCAGGAGAGGCGGTCCCATAGGTACGTGGTTCCTAGTATGTTTCCAGGCCTGGGGTTCCCCATCCAACCAGGCTTTTCTGATCCCTTCTAACACCTCACTCTAAAAGCCAAGCAATAAACTATAAAATCAGCCATCAGATCAGCAGCTGGGATGAAGGTGGCAACTAGGGTAGAAATTACACCAAGAAATCCAAAGTACAGTGGTACCTCAGGTTACAGACGCTTCAGGTTACAGACTCTGCTAACCCAGAAATAGTACTTCGGGTTAAGAACTTTGCTTCAGGATGAGAACAGAAATGGCGCAGCGGCGGCGCAGCGTCAGCGGGAGGCCCTGTTAGCTAAAGTGGTGTCTCAGGTTAAGAACAGTTTCAGGTTAAGAACGGACCTCCGGAACTCTTTAGCTCATCTTTAGCTTTTTTATTATTAATATTTTTATTAATATTCTGTTGGGAGCCGCCCAGAGTGGCTGGGGAAACCTAGCCAGATGGGTGGGGTATTAATAATAATAATAATAATAATAATAATAATAATAATAATAAAATAAAATAAAAAATTTTGGCTGGTGAGGAGAATATTACTTGCCTTGCCTCAGGATCTGAGGAACTTTGGTCTCCCCAAAGCAGGACCCCTTCCGTACAATATGAGAACCAGTGGATGAAACTCAGCCATTATCAACAGGTTTTCAGAGGACATAAGGTGCTATGAGAGGAGGAAATGACACGCAAAATTGCCCCCCTTTCAGGTTGTAAGCACATTCTTTTTTTAAAAGGAAGAAAAAGAAAAAATGCAATTGAGAGACAGCTTTTTAATTGCAAATTGCTTTTTCTAAAGCTGGGCTTGTCTAGCAGTAAAAGCAGAACAACTGATAATGTAATTAGTGTTTAAGTGAAAATAAAGCAAGGCTAACTCAGGTAGAAGTTGGTGGGAGGGGGGAAAACATGCAAACTTGAAAAGGAAGGTGTGTTATGGAACGCGAGGCAAGTTATAAGACCAGCCTCTCCACTGAAGCCAAATAAAAGGAATCCTTAAGAAGCAACCAACTGAAACACTGTCAAGTTGTTGCCTTTCGGTGGCTGTGTTCACACATAATGCTAACCCATGGTTTGTTTTAACCACGGCTTGTTCAACAAACCACAAGCTTCTCATCACACCTGAGCACCTCAGGTTGCTTCTCCAAAGCTTGGCTGGCTTTGCACATTCAGACAAGCAATACTTGGGCTGAACAAACTGTGGCTTGGTGTTATGTGCAAACCAAGCCCATGTGTACCTCTTTATTTTGTGATTTTAAGTTAGTAGTCCTCAACATGCATTTGGGGACGCACTTCTTAATTTTTGACAGTTGTTTGAGTGGTGGCAGTGCTGCTGTTTCGACCCGTTTTAGGTCGCTGTGCAACCCAACTGTGGGTCAAAGACCAGCAATACGTAAGTCATTGGCTGTGATAATGCACTCACTTTGCCTCTTGTGTTGTGTTTGGTTTCTGGAATGACACCTGCATTTGGATTTCCCAGAAAACCCATGCACCAGCCTTTTGTGCGCTGCTGCCGGTTCATGCAAGTGCTAGCTCATCCCCAAGCAATCCCAGAATCAGATTTTGCCCTGTCCAACACAACAATTACCAACTTCTGCTCACAATGGGCCATGGCTGTTTTCCTCTGCAAACTTTGCTATCTGATTGGAAGCTGGTGCGTGAGTAACGCAGGGTGTCTCAATGCTCCCAATATTCTGTCTTCCGCAGCTTCCTGACAAATCGATAGCAAGCCTGGTTAAGTTCTACTACTCCTGGAAAAAGACGAGAACCAAAACGAGTGTCATGGATCGTCATGCTCGGAAGCAGAAAAGGGAGAGGGAAGAAAGGTAAGCTTGCCAATAGGATTTGAAGACAGAGGATCTAGAAACAAGGGCCCTTCAAGGTGCATATTTCGCAGTTTTGTGCAGAATTATGCAGGCAGTTTGGAGTTATTTGAACAGAAATACCTTTTAACACACACAATTTGGGGAGTCAAAGGTAATAATAATAGTAATTTATTATTTATATCCCGCCCATCTGGCTGGGCTTCCCCAGCCGCTCTGGGCGGCTTCCAACAAAATATTAAAATACAGTAATGCATCAAACATTAAAAACTTCCCTAAACAAGGCTGTGTATGGTGGGAATATTCAGTGTTGATTCTGTGTGGGCTTCTCACACAAATGTAACAAACAGGCAGCCCTGTTTAGGGAAGTATTTAAGGATTGATGTTTTTATTCTGTTTTTAGATATGTTGTAAGCCATCCAGAGTGGCAGGGGAAACAGGCGGGGTATAAATAACAATGTTGTTGTTGTTGTTGTTGTTGTTGTTGTTGTTGTTGTTGTTGTTGTTGTTGTTGTTGTTATTGAATTGTTGAAGCAGAGGTGGCCAAAATGGTGGCTGTAACTTCCATCATCCCTGTTCACTGCCCATGCTGGATCTGTTGGAGCAGGATTATGACATTGCATAGAAAGCACCATTTCTCCTTAAAGAATTAAAAAATTATTGTGGCCTAAGTTTTGTGGCTGCACCTGACACTGTCGCCTCTGTCCCTAAAAGCTCATGCCCTTATAAACCTGTTTGCCTGTCAGGTGCCCAAACGCTCTCTGCTGTTTCTGCAGCTGCAGATCTGCAATGCTCCCTTTGGAAGTTATCACACAAACAAGGCTCTTGTTTCCCCCCCGAAAAGAGCAGGATTTTGCAGTCTATTGCAAGTGATGTCCATCTCTGTGCTTTCCCATTTGTATCTGGCCGTATATGTAAAACTAAAATTAACACAGTGAAAGGGGTGGAGCCTGGCATTTCAGGACTGGCTGATTAGATAGTGCCTATCTGATCAAGTTGCAAGAACTATCAATCAGTTGCTGCTACATGAGATCAAATGCAGACCATTCTTGGAAAGTCCTAAATTTCCAAAGGAACCTTTCTTTATAACTACCCCTTGATTCACGAGCCCAGTGGACACTGGGCATGTCTTATGGGGTGATGACATACACAGTCAAGATTGTCCCTGCCAGGGTCTCTGCCCAGCCTGCTTATAGGAACATGCAGCTTCCCTGTTAATTCCTTGTTGTGAAATTGGATTTTCTGGTAAATGGGATCCTTGCTGTGGGCTTTTATTCCCACCTCTCCTCCCCCTGTCAGCCAGTCATGCATTCTATTCCCGGGGGCAGGGTTGGTTTGCATTAAGGGGGAAAAGTCATTTGTGTGTCTCTGCTTATAAAGCTTAAGGCCATTAAAAACAACAACTCGGGCCCATTCAAACACAGCCAATCAGTTCTTAATAAGCCAACATATGAATGAACCTTCTGCCCATTCATGCAGCACCTTTCTGTCTCCATCTGTCTCAATGAGATGTGTAACTAGCCATCGTTTCCTGTGTTCTCGCAAGCAGCAAGCTGGCTACCAGCTTCGCAGCAAGTATGTTGAGAGATGACCGTTCAGACACAGCTTGTTCCTTTCACACCTTCTATGTTTGCAAGGAAACATCGCATTAATATTGCCATTGTTAATTTCCCCCCTTTGTTTCCTTTTGCAGCTAAAAGGCTTGCATTCAACAGCATTATTATTATTATTATTATTATTATTATTATTATTAGGTGTGTGTGTTTAATGGCTTATTCTGAGGACATGCAAGCAGAAAATTTGCAATGGGAATAGTCCCAAAGGGGGAAATAGCTTAATAGTTCCATCCTGCCCCTGTTGAGTTTTGCTTTCTCTCCATCCTGCCTTTTCCTTGAGACCCGCACGTGTTCTTAATCTGATTTACAAGGTATTTTCCCCCATACCTTTGGACCCTGGGAAAACTCCACAAAGATGTGCCTGAGCCTAGATTTTGCATTAATTCAGTGCTCTTGCAGTGCAGGAATATTGATTCAAAATAGTCATGAGAGCCTGTTGCTATGGAGATGGTGATTCCGCTCTTACAATTTAGGAAAGGGACCAAGCTAGCATATGTATATTTTGTGTGGGAAATATTTTTTTTAAAAAAACACCAGGAATAGATAAACTGCAGGTTTAAATTGTGCTTGGTTTCTTAATTGTGATCCACCTTGAGCTAAACTTGGGAAAGCTGGGTGCAACTGTATTAATTTCATCACTGAGATAAGCTTGTGAGCAAAAAGTGTTTTTGGCTTGATCTCTAGACAGCAAGCAGCATTGCAACTGGTGCCCCCCCCCCGCCTTTTTAAAGAAAAGCACCAATCTAATTTCAGTAAACAAGCCAGTATCTGAATGTATGTGACCAAAAAAAAAAATATTGCAGCCTGCGGGTGCCTGGTTGCAAACGCTGAAGGGAACATTTGCACAACATGAGTGAATGCAGAATAGAAATGTTCCTGAGCCCTGGGTTGGTGCTTGCTTTCATCAACACCAATGACTTACAACTATTGCAACTAAACTGAAGGGAGCAGGCATGTGTAGTAGACTTGCTTCGCATGATTTTCCAACATGCCTTACTCTTGACACTGGAACCAGAGCAAGCAAAATAGTAATTGGAAAATTGCTAGGAACTTAAGAAGCTGGTTTATTTTGAGTCACGCTGTTAGTCCATCTAGGTCTTCAACGTTAAGACTTCACCCACCTGGTGTCTACACCCATGTCACTTAGGCACAAGACGAAGGTTTTCTTTTATTTTTCCAGGCTTTTAAGTGAACTTCCTGAATTTCATCTTTTAAAATGGTTGAGTAGGGCTGCGGTTATTGTTCTCAATTGTTTGCGTGTGTGCATGTGTACTCTGTTGTGTGTGTGTGTGTGTGTGTGTGTGTGTGAGAGAGAGAGAGAGAGAGAGAGAGAGAGAGAGAGAGACTGTCTTTCTTGCACTGCATACTTTATATTTTTGTTACTGTGCTTCTATTGCTTGCTGGCCTGGGAATTCTTGAGAGTCAAAGGTATTGTTTTATCCAACAAATGCAAGACGCAAAGGTGGATGCAGAAGCAAATACATGCATTCTTCCTCCGCCTTCAGCAGGTGCACTGGGAAATAAAAAGCCACCCAGGTAGCCCCCTTCACACATTACGTTTTATTTCGTTTGTTAGTTTGTACGTTGCCCTTTTGTATAAATATTCCCAGGGCTGCTGCGTTCAATAAAGCAGAACAATAAAAACACATGCAGCAAACATAATTTTATCCACCACTTCAGTTTATTATCGTCAGTGACGATCTTTCCACAGTTAAGAGAGAATAAAAAGGAAGGAGAGAGATCTCAGTGGTCCAGCGTCTGCTTTGTAGATCTCAAGTTCAATCCCTGGCATCTCCCAAGTAGGACTGGAAGAGACCCATGACTGAAACCCTGGGGAGATGCTGTCTATCATTGTAGAACAGAGGCAAGCAATGTGGTGCCGCCCAGAGATAGTTGGACTGACTCCCAAATCCCACCATCCCTCATGGCTAGTTGCAAGGGATGATGGGAGCTGTAGTCCAGCAGCATCAGAAAGGCACCATGTTGTCTACTGATGCCATGGGCTGGTTGGGTGCAGAGAAATGGTGGGAGGAGCCAGCTGTGGAACTCTCAAGGGAAGAAGGCTCAGAGCCCAGGGGTTGGTGGTGGGATAACAATGAGTGGTCAGAGAGAGAAGGCTGGGAAGAGGCGGTGTCCAAAGCTGAAGAAGTAACAGGGCTTAGCGAGTTGGGAAAGTCCATGGTAGAGAGAAGTCTAGCATCAGAGGCAGAAGCTGAAGCAGGGGAGGAGGAAGGATAAGAGGCAGGGATGAGTCTGACTGGTGAAGAGGAAGGAGTGTCTCCCTCTCCTGCTGCAACAAGCTCCCCACTAGTCTCCGAGAACCAGAGGAGGCATGAAAAGGGGTAGAGGAGAGGTTGACTTCATGGAGGTGCAGTCTCTGATTGCTTGGAAAAAGCCCTGGAGAGGAGGGGATTTGAGCAGCTGTGGAGAGGTGGGGACTTTCAGTCTCGGCAACTGCTTCACAGGGCAAGACCTTCTGGAGATGAGTAGTTGTGCTCATTAGGCCCGACACCCCTGCGCAGATCCTGTTTTGCTAATGAAGAGTTAACTCCAGCTTGCTTAGTGTGATTTACTGCTCCTGTCAACCACTGACTTAGATGGTGCTGATCTAGACGGACTCAGTCGTGTGACTCTGAAAAAGCAGCTTCATAGAATGACTCCCATTTGGGGAAGGGGCTGTAGCTGTGTGGTCAAGCATCTACATTGCATGCCAAAGGTTCCAAGTTCAATCCCTGACTTGCACAAACCCCTGTCTGAAACCCTGCAGAGTTGCTGTCTGCACAGATTTGAAGTTAAGTTTGCCTAGCCAAACGGTAGCAACAGATTCATAAAGCGTGAGAGAGAAACAGGGGAGGAGGTGTGTGTCGTTCTCTTCATTTAATTGTATACAACATATTAGAAAGCTTGTACAAGCGATGGTGTGTTTGCAAGATAGCACATTAGTTAAGGTTGCCTGAATCGGTGCCCCCTCAACGATTCCTGCCTTGGGTTATTAAAATTATTTTTGCCTCGATTTGTGAAAACCACAGAGTCAGAAAATAATAACAGAAGTGTTCCGCAGTAAACAGGTGCAAAGTCCGGGCTCCGTGGAAGGAATTCTAAAAGGGTTTGGGAAAGAAAACAGCAATGTATGTCATATGGTCTTCTGCAATAGCTTTTTTTAATTTCATGGGTTGTTGGAAAGGTGTGCCAGTTTCATTGGATCTGAAGCCTATGCATATATTAAAAGTGGAGCCAATAAGTTCCTCGCTGTTGTCTGTCCTTCCTACACGGCACAAGCCTCTTCAGTAGCATCCTGTACAGCAATGCTAAGTCACAGGTGAGCATCACTGTGAACGGTGGTCCAGCATCTGATTGGAATTATTGAAGGATCAAAACCTGATAGGT